TGATAATATCGAATCTTCGGAGATTTATGCATGCGTTCTTCTCTGCAGCCATAGTAATAATTATGATTCATAATTATACTTGTCTCGCATGTTAAGTCACTAATTTCTTTTATTTAAACATCTAACACGAAAGTATCCGAGTGACTTTAATTGGTTTGACGAAAATGAATATCGTCTCACATCCAAGTCTCTCTCTCTCTCTCTCTCTCTCTCTCTCTCTCTCTCTCTGTCTCAACATACGGCATCGGCACATTCACCTTTCTAAAGAAAAACGGGTTAACACGTGTTTGACGACTACTAGCGACCCTGACAGGGCCGCTTTCGTTGTGAATTCATTCTAATTGAGTTACGTTAATTCACTTTACTTACCTCACGAACATCACTAGCAAAAGCACGCCTTCGAATACAAGACCAGTGGCTATCGGTAGCTTGCGCGAACGATTCGCATTTCTTCAGGGGAAGTAGTTGTTTTCTCATTCGAGTTTTTTTTTAATAAGCGGCTATTTTTTTCGATTATTAGTCAACGAACAAGTGAACATTTTTAGTGGAAATTCGGATTAGGATATTCTTTAAAAAAATTCAGTGATAAAAGTCAATATGGTCAGACAAATTGATGCGATTATTCAACATCAAAGTTATAACAAATAAATGTCACATGTCGATCGATCAAATCAAACATCACTTCCACAGACGGTTTTCAAAGCACGTAAAAGATCCAATAAACGAATAAACATTCCTAAGCAAAAAAGAAAAATGGTATGGGACGATCGTCTGTCAGTGAAAGAGGTGACGGAGATAAAGCGCAAAACGCCGCGTTTCCCATCGCGAGAGCGTAACTTCGCGGTACGTCGACGTGGACCACGACGTACAGGATCTTTACTCAGTGCCAGCCTCGTCGATACACCACCGCCATCTTCTAATGTCGACGTTGCCAAGGAGGAGGAGTCATTGGCGATACAATATCTCGAGCAAAAATACCCGTAAGACTGAGTTTTTTTACGAGGAATGATTTTAGTTTGTTTTGATGTGAAAATCGAGATAGGGAAAGTATTAGATTACTTTGAAAGGAAAAGTGTGTTAAGCCAAGATCACACATTGGAAGTGGAGGGGAAAAATCGATGTATGTCACTTATATCGGTGTTGAATGATAAGTCCAATCATTAGGTGAAAGCTTGATAAAGAAACCACAGTAAGCATGACGAAAACTTCGATAATTGGCTTAGCTAGAAAAACCGTAATTTGATCATTTGATATGATACGGTAAACTTCTTAGATTTATATTATGTTTTCTTAATCACACTGTATATATATTTTTTAAATTATATATTGAGACGAATCTTATTAGCTACAGATTTTTATTCATCACTCATTTTAAATACACGTTTTATTAAATTTATTACGTGTGCATAAATATATATTTTCTTTTTCATCGGTAGTTTGATCTGCTAGTGAAAGCAACATATTTTGTAAATTAACAGAATAATAGCATATCGACAAATAAAATTGTTATCATGCTTTGCGTCGCTATAGCGGAATCTTATCACCTATTTCACGCGTCGCCAGTATATCGGATAAAATAAACGATTGATATCCTTTTCAAAAAGCGTGTTCATTGTTCGATTCGTTTATTAGGAAATCGGCCATGAGAATAAAAAAAGAAACCATATACGGTCTCCGAACGCGTCGTCGGCAAACGACGACGACCACGCGAGGATGGTCTCTTAGGTGAATCATAGTCGGCTGAAAAAAGCAATGTCAATTGAATTAGTTTTTTCCCTCCCTTTCGAATTCTTTTCACGACTACTTGTTGAAGGAATTTCGGAGGTCAGCCAGGAATATAAAGAGAAGAGTGATGACCTTACTCTCTGACGTTTCGATAGTTTATGTAGATTTGTTTGATTTTCGTTTTTTATAAGGTGTTATCGCGACATCATGAGATAATATTGATTTCAATTAAAAATCGAATCGATATGACAGTTGACATCAGTCAAAACGTCCAAATTGATACGTGTCGACTACAACAATAATGAAATACCTTCTAACATTAAGTCAAGTAATTCACGAAGAATTCCAACTAACTTAACGCATATATCGTAGGAACGAAAATAACAATACAGTTCATTCGCATCTCCGTCCCCCTAAGGAAAAAAAGAACCTATACAATAACCCAAAGCAAACAATAACAGTTCTTATATACGCGCGTTTGGGGCATCGTCCTACTGAACAAACATAATCTTCCTCCACGAGATTCTCTCAATTATTGAAAGAATCTCGCAGTGAGAAATGGACTACCCAAAAATTCCAACGAGCGACAAGGTCATGTTATTAGCTTCTTCTCGAGCCATTGTCAAGGCAAGAGTGTGAGAGGGGAAAATACAACATGGACATTCCGCATTATTTTATTTATGAGTTCACGAATTGGCTTCGCCAAATATTAAAAAACTTCATCAGGGCCTACAATCCACAAAAATTCTTTCTCAAAGAATTTCGTATAATCGAGGTGAAAGAAATACACGAAGGGGAGAAACAAATTAAACGAGCGAGAAGAAAAAATGAGCGCGCAAGGCGAAGTTTTATAAAGTTGTACGTGCAGACTGGCGTAGTTTGGGAATCGGAATAGAAAGAGCTTTTTGAGGAAGCTCGCGGAAATAATCAAAGTGTGCGCGGCATTTGCCAAAATCCCGTCAAATGCGCTCTTTACAACGCACACGGACGCTGACGACTTGCGCACAATGATCTGTTATATTGCTATTTCACGCTCTTTTATATAGAAGTGCATTAGAATACGAGCCAGACAAGTGAGATTAATTACGTCTCTTGTTACAATAGCCAAAGCCAATTACGTAGTAGTTATACTTTCTCTCTCTCTCTCTCTCTCTCTCTCCCTCCTTCTCCCGTCACGAAAAAAACGACAAATGCTTGTATTCAGCAATTATGTTTATCTCATTCATCATCATTGCAGCGAGTACAAATATTTGATATCCAACAGGGTATAGATAGGATAGCAAAGTCAAGACAGTATTCCGTGATCAATAATCGTACATCACACAGCTAACATCCGCATAAAAAAAAGGAAAAACTTATTATGGCAACGTCGGATAGCAATTATCGATACGTAAATGCACGACGGAATTAGGTGCGCGTTCCAAATGAATTATCCCCGCTGGGTTTTGAGAGAAAAGTCATATAAAAGCGTCGTGAGCGCGCTTGCGCGAAAGTTACACGTTAACACCTACACACGCGCGGTGACTCGCAGAGTGCGAGAACCCTCGTGGCGCCGCAGTTTGAAGAGTGACTCTTTTGCGGCTGCACTGCTCTTATAATACCGCGCGCAAGCTCGCGCTCGCGGCCTTGACAGTGCAACGGCAGAGCATTCGCTTTCTTTGTTTGTTTTGTGGTCAGTGGAGCAAGTGAGTTCCCAACGAAACAAAATGGTTCTTATCCAGATAGGCGAATGAAAACTGAATTGTAACAAGGAGATTCGTTTTTATTTGGTGAATTGACTTTCGATTAGAGAAATTCATTCTAACAATGTGTGCTCGGTTATTGCACCAATTCATTCAAGATTTCCAGGTTATAAATAAATCGTGGTTCTCTCTTACTTTTCATTCAGATTCAACCAATTGCATACCCATTTTTCAAGTGTTTCTTAAAATAACAGTGGAATTTTTTTAAATAAAGAGTAGTTAGCCGAGGCGTCTCTCATAAATTCTTTCAGTTGCATTGTCATTTTTTGTTCAGTTCTATACCAAGTCACTTCCATCTTACATAAATAATATTACCGCTTGATTTGTTTATCGCTCGATGAGTTAAAAAAAAACATGATTTTTTGCTGTCTAAAGTTTGCGAGAAGATAGCTATCGGTGAAAAGACAAGAAGTACATTTTTCAAAATGATTATTACGAGATTTCACAACGAACGTGTAACTCGATCTAAAATTTGTAATCTCGATCTAAAATTCATTGCATTAATCAATCTTTGCAATAAATAGCATATTTACAAACACAAATATCCTACGTGTAGACGTGCTGTTTGAATTCTGTCAGTGAAAGAGAGAAGATCTAAGATATCGAGTGTAATTTTAAACGCATGAAAGCTTAAAGTAAACGCCTTTATTTACGACTGAATTGACAACAATGTGCAATGAACGCAGCGCGTGGCGTACGAGAGCATCTTCTCCCTTCGTCAGCCTGACGTACTAAAAGCCCAAACGATCTATATTTTGGCCTTTGCACAGTTACCGAATCACGCGTACGTGCGCTACTTTCAACTTGACGTTTATCTAATTGCCAAAGGCAGAGCGCCGCGCGTGTTATACTTACGAGCTTTTTGTCGATAGTAGTGACGTGCGCCGCGCTCGATTAGATAGCAAGAGATGCGTTAGTTTAGTGGGCTTTTTGGCTTTCTGAACTCTTGTGCGTGGTACTGTTTTTTTATTTCTTTATTTATATTGAAGATTCCGATATGGATTCTTTTTGAGGGAATAGATTTCTGTGCGAGTGTTTTTATGATGTTGTCGGAGCAAATATTTATTATAATAGCTTTTGATATCTAAAATTGATTTTGCTTTCGAGTGAAATTCAATATCGACTTCAGTTAGTTTGTCCGCTGTCGTAATGTAAGCTGGAAATTATCTGTTCAATCTGATATGTCTTTAATGGATATTATTAGTAGCTGATTCATAAATATATTATCAATCTTATTAATTGACACAAGCTATGAAAGCTAAAAAAGCAAGAATAAATTAAAAATCAATACATATACTTGATCATTTAATTGAACTTTGCTATAAGGGCTCGTAAGAAATGGTGTCGTCGCAACGCCGTTATAAGTATTTGAAAGTTACTATTAGTCAAAAACTAGAAATCAAAGTTCCTAATTAAACAATTTTTTTCAAAAAGCCATGATATTTAGATTAATTGTAATGAACTGGAATTATATCACTTCAATTTGCTTGTCCAATAAGTGAGCGTTAAGTGAATGTGCGTCAATATCAACAGGGAGCCAGTTGTATCCTGACGCACTGATAACGAGTATCAAACGAAGACTCAATTAAAGAAGTTATTTGGATAATTCATCAACATTTTCAAAGAACAGAAATGCATTCTGATCTGAGTATTACAGTATTATAAATTGTATGAAACGAAAAGTTTTGAAGTATTCTAAAAATAACAAAAACATATCGCATGTGCAATCATCAAAAACAAGATGAATGGGGAGCTTATCATCTCTAATCCAAATTAAGGTGATAATAAAAACAATAACCATTGATTGAACATAAATCAAGCCAACAATAACAAATGAATGCATTTGGTAAAAATCAGATCAGAGCAGGCAAGCTGCTCTGGCAATTAACTCGCTCAGCCTGAGCGGCAAACTACATAGGCGTCACACGACGCTAAGCTTGCTGGGCAAGATGAGTCCAAAGGGACCGAACCAAGACGCTGGGCAGAAAACCGAGGTAAGGGTATCGTGCGTACCGTCGCCCGGTGCCGAGCCGCAAGGCGTTCGGGTAAGAATACCCGAACCAAAGAAAGGAATACCGCCGGTACCACCGCCAGTACCAGCAGTAATCGAATCACCAAGGATAAGGTGCCCGACGATCTCGGAAAAAGACTTTTATAGAAAGACACTGTCACTCGACAGGAAGGACCGATATCCGACTTTGTCGGGTGCGGAAATCAAGAGAGGCTTGCAAGCTACCGGTCCAGACGCACAGAGGAGGCGGAATCCTATGCTTGATCGGAAAAACAGGTCAGCCGCGAGAGACAAATAGAGTGATGGATGATGGGTCTTATGCTTTTTTTAGAGGGCACGTTACGAGTTTTGTGGAATTGAAAGTTGTATACGTGTGTCCTTATATTGTCGTATTTGAGAGGGTCAGGAAAAGCTTGATTTTTCTTTCGTTCTTCCGACAAAAAAGTTTCGGGGAACTTCGAAAGATTGATTACCGTATTTAGATTCACGGCACGGGTAAGTTGGTGTTACAACGAAAATTCCACAAAATTAAATGTTTGCGAAAAGCTGCTGAATGATCCATCACGTGACAAGAGAAAAAGCGCGAAATACTGAAATAACAATGGTACGTAGGTTCCCAACGATATCCGGTGCAGAATTAAAGCGTGGCAACACGATAGGCAAATGTCCACTAGAAGGCGGTCTGGATTTAAGTCTCGCACCATGGCCTGGTATGAAATGGGCATGCGTCAGGGTACTACATCTCTACTGCAAGGTCTTCGACCAGTACGAGCTATTCGAGCTCATCGTTAGGTAAAACAAAATGACAGTGCTCGTGTGTGTATGTGTATTCCGCTAACTAACTGTACATTGCATATCATTATAATCAACGAAAACTGCATGTTTGTTGCTTTTGTGTATACAGCATGCGAATACAATTAATATCTCTCATTCGCCATTCGATCCTAATAAAAATAAATAAATAAACAAAATTAAAAGATTGGAAAGTGGCATACTTATTACGTCAACGTGTAGTCTTTTATATAGTTGACGACGCGATTGAAGGTAATGCGTGCTGCAACTGCTAATATCGAAAGAACGATTTTCAACGCTATTTCTGCGTTAATGCCCCGACGACGCTACTTGCGCCGAGAGCTTTTCTTTGTATCTTTCTAACTACAAGTGCGTGATTAATACTCTCCACGATGAAAGGAGTTTACGTTTCGTTTCTGCGAAATTGAATCATTTTTTAAATCAGAAGAATTATTGTGACTGATTGATTGCTTATTTCAGCAACTTTATTTTAGTTTCCGACAGAGGAATCAGTGAGTCGGGTCGTCAGCAAAACCATTATTGAATATTGATTAAAATTTCAAAAGTGACTATTTCATGTCTTATCCTGTCAATTATTGATTGTTCTTTTGAATTAAAAATTTACTTAATAGAACATTTGGTGGGAATTAATTCACAAACATAGTAATATGAATTGAAATATCACGAAATAGATGTTTCTTAAAGTAGCAAATAAAATTTGAAATAAACTTGTATTCGCTACCGAGAGAGGGAATTAATTAACTTATCATGGATTTTTACAATCATGCTTCTTATACTATATGAGTTGATGTACCCTATTTATAAGAGATACAAAGACGAAAGTTATCAATAATTAAGAACTTTTTCTCTCTTCCGAAGCCTAATAATTTTTTGTCAATATAGACGTAGATTAGACAAGCCTCAATCAATCCCATAACATTTTAACAAACTAAAAAAAGTAAATAAAAAATCCAAATGACAAAATACAGCTCGTATCATTCATACTCAGCTAATACACGTACATTCAAACTCTGTTCATTACCGTTCAAATCTGTCTGCGTGTTTTGGCGAGGCAGGTTAATTAATCGGCTGCAATTGACAAAAGAAGGCGAAACTCCCTTCTCTCGTTTCGTTGTTCGAAACGAGCTAACGAGTTCTTTGCATCATCGTCACGCTCTCTCTTTCTCTCTCTCTCTCTTGCACTCGCGCTCGCGGGTATCGGTGTTCGAACAAGTGCGTCGTTAAAAAAAACTTTTATAACGCACTTTCGCCATGCCACGCTATGGATATGACAATACTAATGTGAGGGAGAGTCGAGACGTGTCGAACGAATATTGCGATAAAGGCGAAACGTTGTTTCAGGTGCTAGCTGTAGAAGTAAACGAGTAATAAAAAACTTGTTTTCCATTTCGGGAGCTCGAAATAACTGAATAAGTGGGCTAAAATTCTTGGCTAAGATTTTCCCTGGATGGCAAATCTCGTGAATAATCTAAATTACTCTTGGAACAAGTTCATTAATCTTCATTTTTTTGGATAGGGAAATAAACTCATGAAAATTAGTGGCTTTAGGTACGTGCAAAATATCAACAATTCAATTGATCTTTAGATAAACATATCAACAATCTCCATTAGTTGTTGACGACAGTCTGATAGAGATTTAGGAAGGTTTTTTGTAACATCTTAATATCCTCATCAAAGTTCTAATCGTTTAGATGTCTTGTTCAGAGCCTATCGTCCTTTATAAATGGTCACAATGGGTGGTGGTGTGTATCGAGGTCAAGTCTCTCTTGAGACATTCGAAGGAGCACTTTGATATTAAGCCGTTTAAAAAAAACGACAAATACTATGTGACGTCAGGTTATTAACGCGGAGAATTATTGTCGAAGTATTTATTTTTTTTATCGTCGTTATTTATATCTTTTGTCGTGGTTGTGAACTTTCTTTTTCGTCGTGTGCATTTTTGATTAACTTTCGTCATTTACTAATTAGGCATCAGTTTTTGTATGGCTTTAAAGTATATTTTTGATGTCGCATGAAAAATAATGCTTTTCTTGACGTAAATATTTGTTCAAATTGCTTGCACCATTTGAGAAACTGGGACTGTAAAATGCTTTTTTGAACAGACGATGTTATTAATTTAACAAACCAACGTGCTCTTTTTATAATTTTGACAACTAAACGGTTGTAAAAATCGCAACTATGACCACTCCATCCCTCATCATGTTCGACACGTTGAACTGATTTACAATGACATTCGCATTTCTCTGCACCGAATAAAAATTCGCGCACGCACTTGGCGATGATAAAAAAATCATTCTCATCATGACGTCTTGATTAACTCGCCGCAGGTGGCTTAACTCTTTCTTATCGGGCTTCTATCGGTCATTGATCGACTCTTTGCTCAATTTGATTTATGCCTTACGAGGGAGGGAAAGAAAAAAAGGGGAGCGTAACCTTGATGGAAGGGCGCGGTATAGTGGAGCAGGACAGCCAATACACGCTTTGAAAGCGCAAATGCATCTCGCTGATTATACGATTTACGCCACCCCTCAAACGGCTTATACGTGTATTTCATACGAATTTCCTCAAATGCTTTGTGCTTCCGATGGATTGTGTGTTTGGTGTACTTTTTTGATTTGTATAATTGTGCATATTTGTTGATATTTGGAAGGACATTTCGCACAAATTTTGTGCGATAAAAGTAAGATGTTATACACAATGATGTTAAGCTTTAATATTCTTTATTTGGAACGAATACTTTGTAAAAACTTGCGTTCGCGGCCTGTAGAGGGAAAAGCAGTTTTATTTACGTGTAATTGAAATTTCATTGCCAAACTGTGTATCTAACTAAAGATCTTATACGTTATATTCAATTTGCATATGGATAAGTTTTATTAAAAATAAATTATTTTCGTACCACTTGGATCCTTTCAGGCATAATATATTATATTTCATAAAAATATATCGGCCAACGTTTCGAGGATTTTATTTATCCTCCTTTTCAAGGCTAAAAACATACAATGTTCAAAACTAAATTTTCAAGAGGCAACTTAAAAATAATATTATGCTCGAAAGGATCCATCGGTACACGAAGATAATTTATTTTCAATAAACTTTATCCATAATCAAATAAAAAATATAATTAATTAACAATAATATGATCATTAATTGATTATCAATAATATGAATTAACCAGCAGCTTAAAGAAAAGGAATTTTCTCAGATTTGTAGGAATTGTTACAAATATTTACATGACTACTTGGCTACTACAAGCTTAATTTTAATAAATATCATAAATATTTTCTCGTAGTACGACAACAAACAAAATGGATATGCGGTTCATAGGAAACAGATACAAGTCTGCTTGAATTACCACCAAAGTAAAATCATCTGGTACGGCTATCCGAAGCTATCGCATTTAGCATGCGAAAGCGTTTATTTCAATAAACTGTCGAATTACGAGCTGCGATAAAAAGTTAAGGCGCGTCGCGCCGGCTGATTGTACAATCGCGAGGGCACCAGGGGTAGTAAAATGCGAAAGGGCGAGCTGGCGCGTATACGGGCTCGCAGTGGTTTTTCGCCGGACAGCGGTAAGAGGATAATAAAATCTTACGAGGAGCAAGACGGCCGCGTTTGCTCTTGGAACTTAATGAAAGGAGCGAGCGAGCGCGCGCACGGCAAATATTTATGGTTAACGTAGGCCGCGCCAAACGAGCGCCTCAATTTGTCCCGAACGCTAAATCACTGCGCCTCGATTAAACGTCTACCTCCCCACACCCCCCTCACGTCCCGCCTCCCGCCCTTTTTTTTCTCCGTGCCTCCTTCATTTGCCGAATAATTATAATTTAGCGATGTTTATTCCCTCCTTACTCTGTTGTTGAAAGTTATAGGCCGAGGTGGTGTCATCTCTCTCTCTTTCTCTCATAAGCGATTTTCCATGTTTTTCTCTTAATTTCTGGCGTGTTTTTTTATGCATGCTGTTTCACGTAAAATTAGTTATTTATTTTACTGTGACAACGTTGTTATAGCTAATAGTTTGATGTGTTTTAATCGTATTTTTTTGTTCTTGTGATCTTCATTTTGCTTCTCAACTTATTTAAAACTAATATTTCAATTGTGATTGCTGTAAAAAAATTGCTTTGACGCAAGTATAAGACGAATTGATTAGTTTTATAACAATCAATTGACTTATTTTAATTTGATGATTATCTTGTTGTGATTTTATTTTAGCGAAAAATATCTTTCATATGCTAATGCATTTTTCGCTAAGGCAATTTTAATCATTAAAGTAATTAACAAATAAATTGCAAACAGTAACATATAAAAAAAATCAGAAATTAATTGTTCCTATATTTACCAGGTAAAATCTATTTTAGCTCCAATTTGTAAATTGCGTAAGTTTTATTACACAACTCTCGACAACATTGCTAAAAAATCATTATGAGTGTATTGCGAATAATATAAAAAATCGCATCAAGTAATATTTCGGTTTCTTTTGGTTTCCCCATATAAACTTGAAAAATGACCTACAGCTGTTAATTCGTTCGATCGGATCGTACATGCGTTTGAACTTTCTCAATATAAGCTACCCAACAAGAATTGCCAGGGTTGTACCAAAAATAAAAATTTTTTTTTGTATGGCTCGCAACACCGCAAACAACATCTTACCACTTGTACAAGAGAAGTTTTTCGATGTCAAATGAAGCTACAGGCACCTCGTAGAGTCAAGCATTAACCTCAATTTTATTTACAGGAAGAACTGCACGAGTTGCAAATGCCCAAGAGAAGCGCACGAGGTGTGTCACGACGAGTGGGTGTCGGTACGAGCGAGACTTGGTCTCAAGGCCGACGAGACGAGAAATCCTGCAGGATTCGACCCAAGGGATGTGGGACTTGCGTGGGCGCCACCAGGCTTACCAATCCACAAGGTGTGCTTATTCTCTCTCTTTCTTTTTCTCGTTTTTATACGAGTACAGTATGCGTGTGTGTGTGTGAAACACGTATCGGGGCTTTTCTGTTTTCCTTTCGTTTAGTACGAGCTTTTCGAAGAATCCTTTTTTGGACGTGATAATCGTGAGTTTATCTTTCGTCGCCTGAACTTTTATTTAGTAGGTAAAAATGTTTTGCTGAATTGGGGATTTGGATTTGATGGCTAAACTATACTATTGTGATTTACATTTCTCGGCGTTTGGGTGGAAGGAACTAACATTTCAATAGGATATCCGTACGTTGACGCAAATCTTTGATAAAATAAAGCGAAAAAATTGAAAAATTTTGAATCGCACAAATTTTGATGTCAAATGCAACTAGATAATTAAGAAAAAATTATATTGGTAAGCTTATTTGCAGTATAAACATAAATCTAGATTTTGTAAATTTACCAAACGATCCACAATTTGATTGGTAGTGCAATGACGCAAACAAAAGTGTGCATGAATGCATAGTTGGGCTTAATTTGAAACAGTTGAACCCGAGCTAATTCGTGTAAGAAAGTGAAGCTTATTTTAGGGTGAGCAATTAGCTGGCTGGCAAGTCCGCTTTAGCGTAAAGGTATTCACGTATCCGGTGTGCTGTAGGTTTATAAATGGGGATTTGAAATCGCTAATGAAACGTAAAGTGGAACTTGCAGCTCTCTGGACAGCGAAATAAGATTAGACAGGAATGCATGTAAGCTTGAAGAAAAATAAACCGTATATGTTGGAGAAGATAATATTTGTTTCTATGCACGATACTGAAGATGTATTTTTGTCTTTTCTCTCAAGCTTTGTCAATGCCTTATTCTGACATCTCCTTTGGGATGCTACTCAAAAGTTTTCACTTTCAATGATGAATGTTCAAGTTCTCGGAATAAACCCCGAAAATAGCATTCTAATAAAAGGTCGATAATGAGCTTATATTTTTACTCTTACAACGTCTATTTTCCGTCGCGCGTGCCAATATTATCAAGTTTTTATGTACCACTGTATTTTTATTTCTCGTATAAGCTTCATTTGTATCGATTAATCAGCGATAATATTGTTGCTTGTTAAAAAATCAACACTAACGAAACTTTCGACTTACTTGTCAATAACAAGTCATATTCTCACTCCTTGGCGATGAGTTTTGCGTTGCGCCATTAAGCATCAGAGCTTGCAAGAAAGCACAAACGTTTGGCCGAACGCCCGTGTAGTTTAATATTTTCGAGGAATCTTGTCACAACTAATGCATAGCCTTGAGTCATTCTCTTCTACCTTCGTATTCTTTTTTCATTCAAAAAGCTCTGAATGCGCGCGCGCACGTGTGTGTGTGTGTGAACTTGAACGTGTTGGCTCGTCGTTTATTTGGCTGGGTATGTCACTGCGGATGTTTGTTTTTTTAATTGATCGTCAGTTGAGTGAAACGTCTTACGGTAATGAAAGGCTAATGCCTATCAGTTAAGAGAAACGAGCATTTCAGAAAAATTTATCATGTATTCAACGTCAGTTTCAATTTTATAATTTTGTTGTCAGATTAACCGCTAACAACATTCCTATCGATAAATATCGCGTGACAATCTGTTCAAAAGCAATAAATTAGTTATATAAATAAATGAGAAAAATTTCTTTATAATAATGATACATTTTATATAGTTTTTATTTTGTATACAATTATTGAAAAAATAAATTTGCATATCAATATCCTTCGTGAAATTTCGCCTTTGTATGTCATTATAAAAATAATTTAATTCAACAGGTGGAGGAATACTTTTCAATGCTGCCGAAACTATCAGTGCCACGACTGGGTACAGCAGGCGAGCGGCATCGAGATCGTCAATTGGCGACACAACTGCCAAAGCAGGATTTGGCAAGAGCTTATTGCCGTCATCTCGATCCTCAACATTCCGTCAGTGCCGATGATTTTATGGCAGCGCGTAACGAGATCGCACTGGATATCGGAAGTGTCCAGGAGGTTTTTGATAAGGGAGTGGTAAGTTCTTTTTAGGATATCTTAAACATTTCTATAAAATTACAGTCCACCAATGAATTGTTTTCATCGATATATATTTATCGTTTATTTAAAATAATGTAGTCGATGAAATATTATTATATCAGAATATTTTTTATATAATATTATGATTAAATACACATAGTCAGGTTGTTAGTCAAGTTATTCGATTTCACGTGAATCGCAGATCTAGTTATTGAATTCATCAATAGAGGATTGCAATAATATTTCGATCTAGTTGATTGAAAAAAGACTATGATATATATATATATATATCAGTTTCTGTATAAGTTTTTCATGTTTCATTTTTAATAAATGGGACGTTTTCAAAACATTTTACGCCAATGTTTCTCAAATTTCTAGCCATAATCGTTAGATGACGTAGATTTCAATTATTAATTTAGCAAAATAATTTATTCAGCGTAGTAAAATAAGAATTAATTACTCAAATAGAATATAAATGAAATTATATTCAACGAAATAGTCAAATCAGTGCTGATATCAATTTCATGAAATTATTATTACCTATACCAACTAAAAAATTATTATTATTTTGAAGGCCAAATTATAAAAATGAGAATGGATTTATTACAGGAATGCGGAGCATGTAAGGAGCCAGTAAAGTACGGTAGTCTTGCCGTATCGGCAAGCAAATTAGGTTTCTTGTATCATCCGACATGCTTCAGGTGTATGCAGTGCGAGGAATTGCTGGTCGATCTCGCATATTGTGTTCATGATGACGTGCTCTATTGCGAGAGGCACTACGCTGAGCAGCTCAAACCGAGATGTGCTGCTTGTGATGAGGTACGTTCTCGATTTCATTTTGGAGCTCGAAGGACAATTTCCTGCAAGTTTTTTTGAAGAAATATAAAGTGTTTATTGAAACGAATGAGTAATACCAAGATTGAGTGTTGTTCATGAAATAAAATTTGTTTCAACGACCCTCAATTATAAAATTTCCATTTCAGTTTAAAATTTCCAATGAATTTGTTATTTAACATTTGACATGAAAAACTTACTTGATTATACTTGATTATATTTCAAAATATGCAAGAAATTTTCCTATGCATTATGGGAACATATTGTAATTATATTTTTTAGTATTAAATTATAGTTTCATAATATAAGTCGTTAAGCTTTCAGAGCTTGCGCTGTAATTTCATTGCCTCGTTTATCGACTGTAGTATAGCAACGTCGCTTCGGCATAGAGTAAACCTCTTTACCGACAGCAATACTCATTGATAACTGCAATACCGTTAGTAGCATTTAAATTTTTGGATGATAGTTGATGGTTCAGCCACTAAAAATAAATTAAATATAATAAAATGCTTTCCTCAAAATGCATCTTAATCATAGTAATAGAATATAATTCATTAGAGTTTCTCGATATTCAACAGCAGAAATGAGTTGATAGAAGAATATAGATAATTAATTGCAAGTTCTCAATAAGTATATAAATACAAATTTTAAAAGCGCTTTCTTTTTTCGTATTATATATGAATACTTTTGTGCATACAGTTATTATATTTGAACGATTAAATAGAAAAGCCATAAATATTTATAAAGTACAAGTTATCATATTAGAAATCTATTAAAACGAGACTGATGTGTTTTGTGAAATCAAAAGATAAAATTCAACGTTAATTTGGATTATTATCAATTAAAACTTCAGTAAGTTATAAACGTAATACAGTAATTTCCAATAAATCAAGGAAAGATTTCAATCTCGTTTGCAATAGCTTGCGCAATTCGCGAAAAGCACGCCGTCAAAAGAGGTAATCTAGACGTCGCACTCCAAAGATATTTGGGACATAATAGCGCGCAATATATAAGCGCCGCAGAGTCGTCGGTCTGTGGCTCTCTTTCTCTCGCTGGGCGAAGTGGGTTGCTTTCGACTTTATTTAGCCAGCCAAAAATAGATAATAGAGAGGCGCACGTACGTCCTGCACACATATTCCGCGAAGGGAAAGCGCGGAAAACTCAGAACAGGCACTTTCCGCGCTTGAACGTTGCGCCGCTCGACAAATTGGCCACCTGTGCACATACGCCGAACTGTATCGCCTTCGAATCGAGCCAAATTGTTACGATGGACTTTGGCTGATTATGAGGTCTCTTAATTGAGAACGACTCGGTTTGGCGGCCGTTGGATTTCGAGGAATATGAGATGTTATAGATAATTTAACAATTATTTCTACATTGCACAGTGTCGATGTAGATGGTATATCACAGTTGATTCTGACATCAGTTTTAATGCAGTTTTAACTTTTACTTCCGAAATCCTGCTTCTGAATTTCCTCAATAGTATTTCTACCTTAATTTGGATTTAAAAAAGAAGATTACACACTGACATCTTAAAGTGAAATTTATCCACTTTCACGCCTGCTTTCTTGATGTTCTTGCAAATATCATTAATTTACATCTAACCATAATTATATTTCTGTGCGCATTCAACAACTCAAAATATTTAAACTCAAACGCACTTATCAACGGATATATTGTAGATATGCATAAGATTACCAATGGATGGAGAAATTCTATTTCAATTTCGAGAAATCGATTACTCCCACCACGTGAATATACGCGAATTAGCAGACGCGCATGTGGCGCTTGTGAGCTTCATCTTCTCCTTTATTAGTTAGTCATTCAATGGAAAGGAAACTCAATTTAGCTTGAATACCTCTTCAAAGAGTGGATTTGCAAACTTAATTCATTGAACGTAGATAACGCGATAAGAGTGATTTTTTTATTTTAACGTTTGTCCGTTATTACGAGATTCGAAGTGTACAACGTAAAAAATACTCTATCTGGTAAGTTTTCAGCGCGGAGTGCTATATGTTTTAACAAAAGTAGTTGCTGTCACAGTCTTAATTTTACGATTGTATGCTATATAATAGTGATTTTTTTTCTACAAATTTCGCCTTCTGTTGAAGAAGGTATTTTAAACTTGAAAGAGTATACATAAATATTGAAAATAAACTCTTCCGTCAGACAGTTATTGATAAATTAAAATTGGCTTTGCAAGGGGGTTAAAAAATGGCTTGACAGAAAGATCTGTGTCTATATAAAAATTTAAGAAAAACTCATTGCAACTGTTTTTTTAATTACAATACAATTGCTTGATAATAACTTTTTTATTTTTTAAAACATTTTAACAAATAGCAACCATTTATTTGAAGATCTGTTTTCTTGTTCCCAATGTTGGCGGGCTATAATACGCGTTGCCCGATCGTCGTCGTCGTCAGAAACGCTAGGCTTCGGGAGCTCCGCGACATTGTCTATTTCCGTAGGCGGTCGGCACTTTGATGATTATGATGAATGTACTTTTCAAAAATTTTGGCTTGTTTTTTCAGGCTTTTGAATAGTACAGTGTACGCAAGAGAGGTAGTAGATAACGATTATTGCTAATATAAATTTTAGCAAATAGATAACTAATTCGCTTTTTTATTTCTGTTATTAAAAGCAAATTAATTATATAAAATCAGACTTAAAAAATGTTGTTTAATTTACGAATTTGAGTATTCAGCACAGTTGTTGATTTGCAATGTTATAGAAATATCAATTAGTACAAATAATTCATAATAGGTTATGGTAGTAATTTGATCAATGAATAGAGAATATTATTTTATACAAATTACAGTGTTATGAATTGAAACAATACCGAATTTATAAAATTACATTAATAGATCTCAACGGATGAATTCTCAGAAAAATCCCACCTGGCTAACTAAAATCATATATAAACCAATATGTATATGTGCAAATAATTTTTCAAAATATGTAGTGTGTCAAACAAAAGTTGTCGCTCAATTATTATTAATTTTGCATCAATAACATATATAAATACTAAATAAATTACCAAACGTATATTTGAGAAATACTCAATATTTATGTCGGTCAAGAATGAATATTGAAAATTATAGGTACAAGTAGAAAAAACGAACATGAGTAGGCATTATGATTCTCTATGAGAATTATGCCAATTCCACGGAAATAATTCAAACTCCACTTTGCATTCAGTAAAGAAAGGGTCTTTAAAGATTTACATGCCAAGCCACACGATTTGCTTCGGGAATATTTTATCAGTGTAGCCGATTGATTATATCCTCAATGCAAACGTAATCCAAACAGACTCGTAATACATCTCGAATAAAGCCAGTTCAAGACGTCGTTTCAACTTTGTAAGCTCGCGAGCACTTGAGCTTTCAGCCGAATTGACATGAGAGTCAATGAACAAGCTGAACTGCATAAAGTAAACGAGCGAGAGAGAGAGAGAGGGAGAGAGAGAGAGAGAGAGAGAGAGAGAGAGAGAGAGAGAGAGAGAGAGAAAGAGAGAGAGAGAGAGAGAGAGAGAGAGAGAGTGCTAGTTTCGAAAGTGCCTGAGAGAGCGAGAAGAGAATCTCCCGAGGACGACTCGAGCTAAGATGAATGAAGCGATTTGGGTCGACTGTCGGAATAATCGGATGGCAAATTTCACCGTGGGGTTTACCTTAGGCTGCATAAGGTTTGCCATGTTTTCGCAGTATTAAATAAGGAGCGTCGGGGGTTTCATGAATAATCTTTATTTCGGAATTTAAAACTACTTTAGTGACGGGTTAGTTATGAAACTCGTTTTTATAGTGCAATAACTAATATACCACGTAAAAATTTGTATTGCCGATACTTGGCGCGATAGGACTCGGGGAAGCAAGCGTACTTCAAATCTCGCCTGGCACATGTCATATCAAAAAATCAAGTTGGATACACGTGCGAGGCTCAAATCACTTTCTCACTCTATTATCGAAATGTACTATTTCGTAACATTCTAATTTATACCTTGAACTGAATGCAGCTAGATTTTTTTACGTGAACTGTGGCTAAAAGGGAACAGCGACGTTTAGTTTAGATAAGTAATTAAGAAGTTACAAGTATTAAATAAAAAATAAGTCTATACAATCAATGCCGTTGATTATTGAATAGTAATCATTATACTACAGAGTTCAAGGACATATAAGGTAGTGTGCGTGGTTGTGCATATCAATATGTCCATATTTGCTGTTAAAATTAATGCAAGTTTTAATAGCAAATTTTTAATGAAATAAGAATCGTAATTAGCCGGCCTAGAAAATCCCGGTCATAAGTTGCGGAGAAGCCCTTTAAATATTTAAAAGTTATACCAAAATTTACAAAACAATTTTTATCAAGAAGTAATGTTATTTAAATTTAAAAAGCAAATTGCATGCCCAAAGTAAAAAATTATTAGAAGGATACATTAACCTTTTAAAACGAATTCGTAAATATAAATGGCCATTCAATTATGTGCTTGAATTTGTAGAATGCTTTTTCGAGTAGCTGGCTCAATGAATTCAGGAAACAATGGTGTAAGGGTAGTCAAGGAATTTTTTCAAAAAATAGTCTAAGTTTCGGTGACGTTAAAAATTCATCCTTTTCAAGGCTCAAATTATAATATTATTCACAATGTGACTAAACACCAAGAGTTATAATATGTCTGTTGTTATTGGTGTTGGTCACAATTAAATTTCTGTAATAATTTACAATATCAATCATTATAAATTATTGAAGTACGTGTGTGAATAGTGTAAAATTAAAAACTTGTCAATTGTAAATATGAATGCTATTTCATATGGTATTCTAAAAGAATAGTTTTTCAACCAAGACAAAAAAAATATCGATTTCAAAGAATCTTCGACGTTAAAATTCATCCAAAGTGACAAATAAAAATATTTTAATAATTGTCTCTGTTATTAAAAAAGATGTTCATGTATAATGTGAGCATTATTTAGAGTAACAAGAAGTTACTAATAAGA